TGTAACCCATCTGTCCTAGAGTGTGAAAAAAGCAGGATGGGAACATGCTTTTGCAGTGAGAAAACCTTTTTCCCATCACCAGCACCCTGTGGCTAATCCTTCAGTTTTGATCCTCAAGGGAGATCCATAAATGATAAGCCTGAGAACTGAAACTGATAACTTGGCAGAGACAGTGATCTTACAGCATTTTATGGTTTTCCGATCCCTCTTAAACCCAGCCCTTCACTGTTTAGTGTTAACTGCCTACCTTTCCTTGTTTCACAGGGGGGATATGAACTTTATCACCTTTCTCTTGCTAATTCTCTCACCCATTCCTGCTAAACGTTAGCGCCTCTTTTTGGTGTAAAGTGTCCGATTGAGTGACATAATTAAATTAAGCTCAGACCATTGTCTTCCAACCTGTCTTTAGTCTGAAAGTTGCTGTTTCTCTTTCAGATTTAAAGAAAGTCTTTGAACGCCTTAAACTTTGCCTGTTCTTTCACATTCATCAGTTGATGTATTAAAATATATACTTTCTCCAGCAGATGGCAACACGCTTCTAAATTATTCACAGCATGTCTGAGAGGCTGGACTAGTTCCTAAGCAAGTCGGATCGGAGATGAAATTGAGTTTGAGAAAAGGACTTAATGCAATACGGTGTTTGTCTCCCTTTGGAACGTTCAAGAAAGTATTTTTTAAGCTAGTGGCATTGTTATTTCATTTAAACTTATTATTCTTTAATCTGAAAATGTAGCATAATATTGTTGTGGCTCATTGCCTCTACATTTAACAGTAGTGGCAGTGAACAGATGAACCAGGACCTCTCTGTGCATCTTCCCGGCATTGCCTTTATTTCCAAAGAGCAATGAAGTAGTTCAGAGGCCAGGATAGTGGGAGCTGTATTCCAACATTGTTTCTCTCTCCTTTCTTTTTCCCCAAAGGCATTTCGAAAGCACACATCTCCAGTTCACACCAGAAGTATCCATTAGCTGCTATAGAATTGTAAAATATTTTTATTGCTGGAGACTCAGGAACTATGGAATTTCTATCAATCAAAATCTCTAATAAACGAAAGTAAGTACTAGAATAATTCTTCCTTGGATTTCTCCTGTCATAATTTTTCTAGGAATAGGTACAGCCTGATGTTTTACTGCCTTGGTGATGTGTCTGTTTCTGCCTCTGCAAAGTGGATAGAAAATGATACAAAGAAGCGTTTGACATCACTTCCTGGAGGTTACACTAACTAGACAAGACACACCTCAAGGGAAAACCAGGCTCGGGTTCTTGTCTTCACCCTTTTGTCTGTCACTCCTTTTAAGTGGTAATTACAGTTACCTTGATTTTTTCCCAGGCAGGAAGCACACTCAGGTGCATGACAAACACTGAGTGACTCAGAACTGAGCTTGCAATTACTAATTCGAGCAGCTGGGCAGCGGCTGTACCTCGATTTCTTCAGTGTCTCTTGACATCACGGGATCCAGTTTGCTCTGGCACCTGCACTCCAGTTTAGCCCCGCTCTCAGTGCAGATCCCCACCCACCTGCCCTGTGTGTGATGGCATTGTCACCTGTTCTCAGGTTGCCCCCATTTCTCATTGTTTAGGTTTCTCTTGTGCAGCACTGTGAACAGGCTCAGAAATGGGATCCCAAGGCACTATTTGCTAAGGAACCGTATTGACATATGCAGCCCACTTGTACAAATGCAGGTAACGCTGAAGGCTGGGTTTGCTCACTACCATGTTAGGAGGGGCTGATATTTTTTTTTTTCCCTTTCCCTTGGTGAGAAGGGAGCCATGCTATTTTTAAAACTGCCATCTCCCATAACATGCAATGCTTTTTCTGAGGCAACACGAGTAATTTGCTAGGCTTTGCAAAAATGAGAATGGCTTCCACTCTGTGAGTTTCGGACAAGACTGGGGAGCAGAATATGCTGATATTCTGCCAAGGAGGCAGAATACAGTGTTGTCAGAGGAACAGAGTACAAGGTTGTTGGAGGTCAAGTATTGCTCAGGAGCCACTGAAAGTTGGGAACACTATCTGCTAAAAAGCTCAGTGTCACCATTTCCCCATATTATAACACTGCACTTCAGAATGGAAATTATATTTGATAGTTTGAGCTGATCTTTAGTTTCATCCCCACAAAGGACAAGCCTGTGTGTCCTCCTCCTCCAAACTGGCTTATGTACTGCTCTTGATTTGGTCCATAGGTGGACTTCTCCTGCCACAGCAGCAGTGAGAAAAATTACTATAATTAAAAGAAATGGGAAGAACAGGAAGCATCTTCCTCTAAATAACCAGGTTTTTTAATAACAGGACTTTGTACAGATGCATAAAGTTTGTTTGGTGGTGACAGTCATACACTGCCTGAATATAGAAATATATTTCCACTGTAAATCACTTTAATGGAGCAGCTTTTCTGTGCAGCCTAGATAGTGCAGCTCAGCTGAGTAATTGCTAAACACTAACAGGACCTGAAATCTGTATTTGATCTCCCTGGAAAGAGTTTGATCTTCTGCACTTACTTCCTGGTGGATAGGAATTCACATAATGAGAAATACCATCATAATTTGTACTAATTATAATTCCTGGGAGTGAGGCCAAATACAGCCTTGCAGACTGTGTATTTCCCACTCAGGCACAACTGATTTTGGCAGAGGAGTACGTCAGGCAAGCAGCACACAATGGGGCTCTCCTAATGTACCTGCTACCTACACAGGCAGAGTAGACAGTCACCAGAACTGTTGGTTCAGCAGCTCAGGGAATGGGACAGACTTTCACTGCAGAAAAGTCATAACTGTGCAAAATATCTGACTGCTCTCTGCATTGTGAAACTAAACCTGCATCCACTATTAGCTGTCAGGACCAAGGCAAGATCTGAGAAACGAATCCATGGGAGCGGCCCGGTTTGTTTGCTTAATCACTTTGTTTAAACATAGATTAAAAATCACTTAAGCTTATTGACAAATTAAGTGTGTGTCAACCAACGGTTGTCAGAAACAGCAGGTAAAAAGAAGCGTGGTCCCAGAAGGAAGAGATTTTAGGTAAGGAATAAGAGAAAAAGGGCTGGATGCATGGAGTGGGCAACAGTGTATCTTCTTAAGGGAGATACATTCCTAAGCAAACAGCAAATAGGGAACTTGAACTGTCAACTTCTCTTCATCTCTTGTCCCTGCCAACAGTGAACATTTTGGTGAATAATCCCTCATTTACATTCATTTCTTCTGATTAAATGGAAATGTCATAGTTCACAGAAAGTCAGCCAGAGTCTGAAATGCACTGGGAAAGCTTTGTAAGATCCTTGCTTGCTGTGCTGCCTGTCCCATCTGCAATGTAGCATGTCCTTGCTGGTCCCATTGGAGGCACTGCCACACCTCACACATTGCGGAGTATGGCCTGCCCCAGTGCATTCTGCCTTTTCTGGAGCAGTTCAGCTGTCGCCTGGCTCTGAACTAGCACTGAAGAGCCTGGCACTGGAAAAAGCCAGTCTAATGCAAGCCAGTCCCTTGAGATAGCAGCCACTTGCTGCAGCAAGACTAACTGGCACATTTTAGCAGCAGCCTAGTTTCTAATACCATCCCCGTTTTTTGTAGCTGTAGAAATTTAAGGCTGTGCTATGTGTAAAAATACATAAGGGGTTGATTAAAACAAACTGTTAGAGAGAACTGCAGTGGAAAAGCTGTCTTGCATTTCCCAGGAAGGTTATTGGCTGTCTCCAGAGTGATTCAGTGGACACAGTTTGTCCACTGAACCTGAAGAGTTGCAGTGCTTATGACTTTCTGCCAACCATAGGGAAAAGCACTCTAGATTGTGCCTGACTTAAAGATTTTTTCTTAAGTGCAAAATTAGTGTAGGTGGAACATCTTTGTATCTTCTCAGCATGGATGCAAACTACAGCAAGACAAACTCATGAACTGCTAATCAGCAGCTGCTTGAAGCACAGCACTGCCTAGTGCAGACAGATCTGCCTTGCTGAGAGGACTGTGAAGGACATCATGGTAACTAAATGAGTGTTGCTTATTGACAGCCTGAGTTTAGCTCCTCCGTTAGTAAGCAGCTCCACATTCAAAGCTCATGTTGCAATATTGGGTATTGCAGGAATTAATACTTTCCCTCTGGTGTTTCAAATCACTTGGAGGTGCTACACTGGCGTGCAATGATGGCTGAGATAGTGTGGCTGTATCTCTCCTTTTATGTGGTGTGTTCCCACTCCTCTGTTTAGTCATACTTCTTTAGACGGTGAGATCCTCGGGGCAGGGATGGAGCCGTCTTCTTAGCTGCCAAGGGCACAGTGTGGTGTGTGAGCTACCAGAGGTGAATATGAAAAACAGGCAGCAGACTGGGAACTCCTGCACTTGTCCATGCAGCTGGGAAAATACACTTTGTGGCTTTTGCCAGCAGGTAGCAACAGCTTGGCTGAGTCCCAGCAGCCCAGTAATGGCAATCATTTAGTTAACAGATGTGATGACTTTTGGCCATTTGTTTTATATTGTCCTTCACAATATTGACCAGCACTGTTGGTTTTACTTCTGTCCTGATTTCATGGCAGAAATCACAGATGTCCCAAATGGCACCGTGGAGCTGCTTTGAAAGATCAAAAAAGAAGCAGGGGCGACTTGGATGGAGCGCGGCTTTCCAGTGTGTGCGCGGCTCAGAGTACGGCGTGGCACCTGCCGAAATGCCGAGGGCAGGCGCAGCTGGGGAGCAGCGCGGAGGACGGGCGTGCAGCAGCGGGACCCTCGCCCGCGGGACGGCGGCGGGAAGAGGAGGCCGGGCCGGGCCGAGCAGGGCTGGGCACGGGCACCTCCCGGCGGGGCGGGACAGGGCGGGACTAGGGAAATAGGAGCTGGTTTTGTGCGCAGGGCGGCAGGTGTTGTGATGAAGAGCGAAACTCGGCGGGCTGGAGAGGGTGGCCCAGCACGGCAGCCCCGACAGCTCTCTCTCAGGAGCATGGCAGCGGCCCCGCCGCGCAGCTCCCCACGCTGAGCCCTGCCGAGTCCGCCGTGCCACCGTCAGTGCCATTGCCATGCCTCCCCAGGAGCTCCTGGATTACGCGCCCGCGCTACGGAGACACAGCCCGCCCCGGGGCAGCGGCCCGGAGCTGGGAATCAAGTGCGTGCTGGTGGGCGATGGTGCCGTGGGCAAGACCAGCCTGGTGGTCAGCTACACCACCAACGGGTACCCCGACGAGTACCAGCCCACCGCCCTCGACACCTTCTCCGGTAGGTGCCCGCCCGGGCTGCGCGGGGCATGGGGCGGCCGGGAGGATCCAGTCTGCAGCAGCGAAACCTCGGGACGCGGCGTGGGGAGGAGCGGGGTCCCGGGGTGGATGGCGGCGAGCGCTCCCGGGGCCACGGCTGCCCGTGCGGGGCTGCGCACCGGGGCCTCTGCGGGCGGTGCAGCCTGCAGGGATTCCTCCGAGGTTTTGTGAGGTTTAGCAGGTGGAGGTCCTCTGTTCTGCAGCTGTGTCGCGCTGATTTGCAAGTTCCATGAACTTGGGCAGCTTCCAGGTTTTGTGGTGTTGTCATGACTAAATAGAGGGGGCTTCGTTTTTTGGTATTTTTATTGTTTGTGGTGGTTTCAGCTTCAGAAATAGCCGACAGTGTAACGCTGTGATTTTAGCTTCAGCTGATACTCAGGAAAGCCATCATTTTCCCTCCATGTCTGGTGAAGTTAGCATTGAACAGAGGTTGTCAAAAAGCTGATGAGATTTATAAGTCTGGCTAGAATTGCAAGCTGATGAGCTCTCATTAGTTTTCACTTTTGTAAATGCTATCTTTGTTCTTCTTCTACACTCCTCTTCCTTTGGGCTCCAATTTCTAATATAAACCCCAGGAGAATACAAAGCCCTTTGAAAGATTTCTTATCTTCATTTGATATGAAGAAACACAGCACTACTTGACAATGTAGATTGGTAGATTAGAGATGCGCTCAAGTCAGACCAGGAATGAGACATCTAATGTGTCTTAGGGTTGCTTAGAGGGAGTGTTTTGTTTGAATGTCCCCCCTCAGCTGCTCACTCTGAGAGCTGTTGATTTACCTTGACTTTCTCCAAGCTATTCCACAGTCACTTGAAGGAACTGGCCTGGGAACACGCTGCTGTTCATGGTCTAGAAGTCCTTTGTGCACAGATGTAAGGAATCATGAGTCCTCCAAGGGAAAGGTTACTGCTCTCTCTGCATTAATGTGTATGGATTAGACAAAGAGATTACTGTAATTATTAGACTGTACATTTTTGAAAGAGCAAATCCATAATTAAATGGCCCAGAAAGGTGAAGGCAAGATGAGACACCCTGATTAACAGCAGGTAATCTGAAGATAGCTGCGCATGGGTTCAGTTCCAGTCTGGATCACAGGATTTGTAACCGATAGAAATAAAAAACATTAAAAATGTGTCTTGTGAAGTTTACTTTCTGCTTATTGGGAGGAAATGGAAGAACAGACAAGTTTTCCTTCCCACTCCTACACTTACCCTGGATAAGCCTGAAGAAAGTCCTTTCCTGGAGCCAAATATTATGCTTCTGGATCTAGCTCAGAAATTTCAACCCAATTCCTTCCACTTTTGGGGAATACCTGCCATTGAAACAGCTGGCAAAACTTAGCAGTTTAAATTCTAACCTTAATCCTGGTCACACGACTGTGATGCCAATAACAAGATGGGAGAAGGTGTTGCATTATTGGGGGGTGTCTCTGGGACGGTGACCCAGCCATATACAGATGTAGTCTGGCTGCTACCTCCTGCCAGGTAGAGCAGCCTTGAGTGAAATACGTACCCAGTGACCTTTCTCCACCAGGCTATCCTGTTCTGCCAGCCCCTTCACTATTGTACCATGATCCATCCTCATCCTGAGGGTGTGGACCTTGTGAGGGCAGTATTTGGAGAGCTGTTGCAGAGTTGCTAACGTAGCTCAAGCTCGCAACAGATGGGATGAAACTTTGTGCAAACGCTGGAGCAGTAGGTAATATATGTGGCGAGTTTCTTCTGAAGATGACAAGACATTTCTGAGAGGCTAATTCCTTCTCTCTATGCACTTGTGAGACGAGAAAAGCAGATACTAGAAAGTCAAATGCCTGCTGCCTTGAAGATCAAGTCAGGATCTAGCAGGTTCTTTGATCAGGAGCAGGTTTCTCTTCCTCCTCTGGGGCAACGATATGGTAACAGCCCAACTGTTTCCCAGTCACACGGAAGCAATGACTTTCAGCTACTCCACGAGGAGTGGCACTGTGGTGGACACACCCACCCCTTTATTTTTCTTCCAGTCTTGGTCTCCCACCAAACTTCATCTTTTTGTCTTTTTGTCTTTTTGTCTTTTTGTCTTTTTGTCTTCTTTCCCCCCCAGACTGCTTTCAGGGAGGAGTGCTCTCCTTCAAAAGCTTATTTTTCTGTCACTTCTCACCTGGCAAATTACTTCAAGAATCACTAACAATTGATCCTGCTTCTGGTTGGGAGATTTTTTTGTTTGTGGATTTCGGGGGTTTTTTTTGGCTTGGTTTTGGGGTTTTTTTTAAATGAAAAGGACAATAAAGCCTCCTACCTGCACACAGCAGTAGAGTTTTGCTAACTCATGTCAAGTGCCAGCCATTGTCACCTTAGCCATGATGTCTGCCTCTATTGACCCAAGCACAGCTCCATCCACCTTGTCAGGGCTTTCAAGTGATTTCCAGCTCCACAACCCCTTTTCCCCTCTTCTCAGTTCCTAGCCTAATTTCTGCTGTGTCCATGCACTTAAACATCTAACAGTTTCATTCTTAATTATCATCAGAGGTCCTGCCAGCCCTCAGTCTGAGTCAGCTGATACCACATGAAGGCATACTGTGATTAGGGAGTGAAATGGGAGCAAACCTTACATGTGTAACTCAGCAGTTTTTCAGTGTGTGGATAGTCTCTGAAAGGGGTTTCACTCATCACTGTTTCCTTAATAGTTTCTTCATTACAAAGGTGGGTTTTTCCTTAGCTAGGACACTCATGTAAAATTTTTTTTAAGAACAAATCTCTGGTCTGGATGGGAAAAATCTCCAATAGCTTGTTTGACAGAGACTGATTTGAATTTGCTTGGCCAAGAAGATAGGAGCAAATTGCCAAAGTTCTCTGGTTTTATTCTTATCTTTTTTCTTGGGATGTGGAAGAAGAACAAGTGGTTGTCAGGGAACTGATTGGCTAAGGGCTCTTCTTGTCTAGAGGAGCAGCTGTCCAGTAACATGGAACTATTCTTTCAAAATTATGGAGACGAGCACAGAAAACCTGAAAGCTAACAAAAACACACCTGCTGCAGTTCTCTTAATGTTTCCAGTGCAAGCTTCAACAGTCTTAGTGAGGTTTGGGAGGATGCTCAGCTAGGAGGAGATGTGATTTCAGTGAGTCTGTTCAGCAGGGTATGAACCAAAGTACTCAGGAAAAGCCTGTATGAGTGTGCATGTACATGCTGGCCAACTGTTTTAGACTCATCCTTTATTCTCCTTCTACAGTGCAAGTCCTCGTGGATGGAGCCCCGGTCCGAATTCAGCTGTGGGACACTGCTGGACAGGTAAGCTCTATCAAAGCAACTGCCAACTCTGGATCTGTGGGACAGGGATTCTTTTCAGGCTTTGAGGAAGGAGGTGTTTAACTGGGAAGAAAGGAAATGCACTGGTCCAGCCATTTGCTGGTCTGGCAGTCACAGACAAGTGAATGACAGATGTCCTCAACTCTGAAACTTTTGTCTGAAATATGGCATGGCCACAAAGTCAGTACAATGCCCTGCCTCTGTTGCTATCCTAGTTAACTTGTAGAAAAGCTACTGCAGCATCATAGTCTTAGAAGAGCAGTCCAGTGAAGATTTTTTTTTTCCCCCCCTTTTCTACAGGAAGACTTTGACTGTTTGCGCTCTCTTTGTTACCCTGACACCGACGTCTTCCTTGTCTGCTTCAGTGTGGTAAACCCAAGCTCCTTCCAAAACATTACAGAGAAATGGATCCCTGAGATACGAACTCACAACCCCCGGGCACCAGTGCTGCTAGTGGGGACACAGGCAGACTTGCGGGACGATGTCAATGTCCTCATCAGCCTGGATCGCTACCATGTGAAGCCTGTGCCCCGGCCTCAGGCAGAAGGTCTAGCTGACAAAATCCGAGCTGAAGCCTACCTGGAATGCTCAGCACTGACCCAAAAGAACCTTAAAGAAGTTTTTGACATGGCCATTGTCAGTGGTGTTGAGCACAAGGCACGTCAGGAGAAGAAGATGACTGCCAAAGGCATCAAGACTCTCTCTAAATGCCGCTGGAAGAAGTTCTTTTGCTTTGTCTGAAGTTGCTTTGAGGGAGGGGAAAAGAAACACCCAATGCCAGTATTGGCTCTGCACCTTCTTGGAGTGACTGCTCCTATGGCCCCAGCAAGGAGGGTATGATAAGCTGCTGGGCTTGGAAACCTGTCTCTTGCTGGGTACAGTATCAGATGCCAAGGAGACATGAACTAGATTTCCATTGTGCTGAGATGTGTGGAATGGTCCAGGCAGCTGTAATACCTGCTGGACATGTCTGTAGTGTCCCAGACTAACGGGAGCCTTTAGTACATCAAGACTCAGTACCCTAGAACAGGCATGTTCCTTACATTGTTCAAAATTGCCAGTTTTCTGGTTGAATCTCAGTTTCAGAGTTCTGATGCACATAATAAACATGAGGGACTTCTGAAATCAGCCTTTATTTTGGCTGATTTACAGACATGGCAGAGAATAGGGCAGGAGCAGTTACATGCAACTGCAATGTGGTCAGGCATGGGGTGCAGAGTTTGTAACATGAGACTTGGGTTCCCTCTGATTCCATTTGCCAAAATAGGTAGAATTCACTTGGCTGTGAAAAAGCAGCACTCTTTCTTAAAGGCCCTGCACTAGGAGTACTCTTGAGAAGTTAGTTCCTAAATAAAGGTCATTATCAGGCTGAAGAGAAAATGTACTGGGAGCAACAGTAATATTTTGAGCAAAACCTTCTCTGAGAGGACTCTCTAGTCTGCTGGGTGCAAGTGTTTCAGTCCTATCCTAAGAGGTAGTTGTGGACCTAGAGACCAACTTTGAAAGGCCTTTTGTGTGTGTGGTGTTTCGAAAGAAAAAGAGGTGAGGAAGAGTGAGGTGTGGCTCTGTCTAGCAGAGAAAAAACTGTGTCAGCGAAGGGTTTATACCACTACCAAGGGGTCAAATATACATGGAGAGAGAAGGAAGAAAAGGAAGCAAATTGAAAGGAGAAAGATGGAATGAAGAAAGGTAGATGGAGAAGGAAATAAGAATGAATGTCGTTAAATTAAAGTTGTGATTCTACTTAGTTGAGATGCTAATATGCAGGATAACCTTTAGAGACCTGAAAGCTTTACTAGTGATATGAATTTCAAAGTAATATTGTCCATACATTCAGTTCTGAATCAAAAGGAGGGGGTTATAGTGAGAGAGAGTTTCTCTCCATTACTAAAATCCTCCATTTCAGATCTACACAGAAGAATGGAATGTACCTTGTACTGTTCTTCCTGAGGCTGCAGAACAGGAACACAGGACTCAGGGCTTCTTTTTGTTATGCTTCCCTTTTTTAAAAGTCACTGCTTGATCTGCTGAAATCAAAAGCAAAGGAAATCCATGAAGTTTATGCTGGAGAAAATAATTCCTTAAGTTACACTCCCTTCCCCTCTCACCTGTTTCTCAGGGGATTAATATCTCAGAGAGTCTATTCACATTTTATTATATTTTATTACAGAACTTGAATCAATTTATAAATCTTCTTTTGCAGAGACATTTCATTTTGGTTTATGTAGCAGAGAGCGTGATACATCTGTCAAGCAATGTTTTTGATACTCAGGGAGTTCTCTACATCTGGCTACAGGCCGTCACTTTGGGAACACTCTGGAGTAATGTGACAGAAAGAGAAATAGCTGTGGATGGTTTGCCCTAGACCAAAAGCAAGCATAGGTGAGCTAGCAAGCCTGTAGCAAGGCAAATGTGACTAATGCAGTCTGGCTCCAAACAAATGCCTCCCAACATCTCTGACAGCCAGCTGTTTTTTTAATAGTGCAGCTTGTATAGTTCCCAGGATGTGAAACAAGACTGCTGTCTCCTTGGGCAGTATTGCAGGATGAAAGAGGTGAGGTGTTCCTGTGAAGGGAAGTGGCCCACAGCCTTGGAGCTGCTTCTAAGGTAAGGCTCAGAGACCTGACAAGGATGGTGCAGCAAAATGAGCTGAATGTTGAAAGGAGTCCTCCAACTGAAATGCCATTTGAGTCCAGTGAGGAGTTCTAAGAGATGGTGAGCACAGAGACAGTAATTAGAAGTGACATGTCTGACACAAGTCTAGGTAGGACTCCATTTCCTGACAAAGCTCTCACTCAGCAATGCATCCCTGTGTGCATATCCTACCTGTACAGGCACCTTTGCTGTATCATAGTTCAGTTTGTCTGTTGGGTCTTTACACATTTCTTTAGCCTGTGAGACCAAGGGCTGTGGTGTGACCTGCCAGAGAGCATGCCATATCCCTGTGGAGCAAATCCACAGGTGGAAAGAGCACCAGCCTCCTTCCTGCTGAGGACAGCAAGGGCTGACCTGCAGTAACTTTGTATGAAACAGGGGTTATTTCATTCTGGAAAACAAACTGTACTGAGAGCTACTTTTGTTCTATATGATTGTGTCTAAAAGTTGTTGAAATAAATTTTTTTAATGTCCACAATTCGTGTTTGTAATTTTGTCACTGCAAATTAAGTTGGGCTTTAATATGGAGAGGGAGTTACTCCATTTTACTGACAAAAAGCATAACAGGGAAATAGCCCCACTTCTCACTCCATGTCCTAACCCCCACTAGCAATGGTAAAAGTCCCTTCATAGCTGAAACTTTGCAGGTTTCTTCTGTTACCTCAGTTAATCTTTTTCTACCTCAGCAGCCACTCAGTATGGAGGCTGCTGAGGGGGATGGAGTAGCAAACATCCAGGGCTTTCAATGCTTCTCCCCAGAAGCCACTCTCCAGGGACCAGTCAGGAAGCCCTCCCAGCACTCACTGAGCCAAGCCCATGCAGGACATGCATCTGGCACCTTAATGACAGCATGCTGCTCTGTCATTAGGCTGATGGGTAGTTGAGCCACCAGTTTCACTTAATTTACCTTGGCAGTTTAACACTGCTCAAGTGCTGAAAAATTTTACCTGTGCTACATAGGATGCAAGGGCTCCATCCAAGACAGCTCATAGGACTAACCCTTGTAGGCCTATCTTCAGTATTACAGACAGGGCTCCTGACAGTCCAGATGTGGAGCCCCATTGCTGCTCCAAAGTCAGAGGGCTGGAAAGTGAGGTTGCTGAGGGAGGAGTGTGGTGGTTCAGCAGAGAGCTAGGAAAGAAAATGGACAAAAAACAGAGTAGCAGAGGTAATGAGAAAATTCAGAAATTAGAAGGGAATAGGAAATGACTACCAATAAAACATGACTTGGGAACTTGTGTTTTGGGTGAGGAGGTTGTTGGGGTTGTTAGGATTTGTTTGGGGTTTTTTTGAGGGGGAGGGGGCATGGTTATTTACCAAGTCCGCAGTCACACTCTCCTTATAGAGAACCATGGTTTACTAGATATAACGTAACCTATGGGAGTATTTGGAGCTGGCTCCCAGCTTTGTAACTTCCTGGCACTAAATCTTACAGAAGCACCTGTGAATGGAAATAGCAGCAAAGTGTGAATTAACTTTACAGGGAGTGAGTCATTCCACTGAGCCATATCCTGTCATATGCACAATAAGCACTCTAAAACTCCCTGAAATCCGTGAACAAAGCTGAACTCCTGGGTGTGGGGAGGTGAATCTATCTCATTAAATGGAGTTTCCTACCAAAGCCACCTGAGGTGTCTGTAAAGCCTTACTCTCATCCTCTTACGGTGCAGTACTGGATCTGTGCTACTACCTGGCTTTGGTAGAGTCTGGGCTTGTTTCTTCCTTGCAGTGCTGCTTGACCAACCTGTATTTTCAGATGCTGCTGAGAGAACAGAGGAGCTCCTGGGAGACTGTTGCTAACACAAACCACCACACCAGGCTGGGTGAAGCTAGTCCAGTCCATTGCTAGGCCAGCACAATTCCTCACAAGTGCTGCTTAGTTTCTTCCAAAAAGGATCCTTATGATTAGTTGATCTGATTTGTTCCATAGCACAAAGCTCAGCATCAAATGCTAAAAGCACCAACATTCCTACAGGGTAGAAACTCTCTAGTACCTTCTTTCTTGCTCAGGGCTCTGACTTGGATCCTGGATAGCAGATTCCTGCATATCCTTGCATCCAACAGAGTAACTGATAAGGAAGACTGCCCTTCCTATACTGGAGAATGCTGGTTGAGACCCAGCATAGGTAACAGTACAAGTACTTCAGTACAGATATGCACCATGTTTTGTAAATCCACATTAAGCCAGTGTGCTTGCTGCCACTCTCAGCTACCATCTCCAAAGGACCTGAGCTTGGATGTCAGCAACAGTAAAAACACAGTATGGAAAGGACCCTTTAGTTTCTTTTCTCTGTAGATGTTGCGTCCTAAATGGGCTTAACTGTGCCAAAAAGGTTTTCAGCTAGTAACACTTCCCTCAGCTTCCACTGAACCCTGACTGGGAATTAAACCCCAAAGTGATACCAAATTTCATCTGATTCAGCACATCCTCCTTCCAGCACTGAAAAGGCAAGTCTGAAGGTCCTTTTGGAGATCTTTATGCTCTGTAGGTTACATCTTATTTATTTTGAAGGGACAGGCTGAACTATTACCAGGTCAGGAGCTGACATGAGCCCAGCAGGAGGAATCCTGCTGAAATGCAATTACCTCACAATGGCATCCTCCCCCCATTTCCTGAGAGGGTGTAATTACATTAACAACCTTATCACTTTCTTAACACTCCCCAATTTAATCCTCAAGTGCTAACCAGCTTTTTCTTCAGATTGCTCTGGGTTCAACGTTATTTATCAATTAGGCCCAGCTTGGAAGCAGGGGTTGGTTTGACTTTTCTCAGCTGGCAAATAGGTAACCTTCTCAGTAGTGGCCAATAGGTAACCTGCTTCAACTCTGCTCTTAATGCATTCCTGCCCCTAATTTGGGTTAGAATGATCTTTTCCCATGGTCCTTTCTGGAGTCTCTCAAAGAGCAGCATGGGAACACCACAAGAGCAGAAGGGAACAGAGGCACTGCTCAAACAGATGCTGTCACCACAAGGAATGTTTGTCTCCTCACAGCTTGTGTGCTAACTGAACTACTGCTCTTCCATTCTGCTGAAGGTCCTTTTTGCCCAGGATTCTGCCTTGGTCATATGGTCTGCTTGTACATCTTGAGTGATTTACATCATTGCCTCTCTTTGACTGTGCTAAATCACTCTGTAGTGAGCCTGGGAGATAAAGCATTTTTCCAAAGAAACCACTTGAACTTTGCAATATGGCTCTAAGACTGTCCTTCCTGTACTGGAGAATACTGGCTGAGACCCAGCACTTTGTCTGC